AAAGCTGGCTTCACACTGAACGGGCTTCAAATATCTGCAAACAAAAATGATTGCTTTGTAAATTGTTGGTTTTGTGCATCTCTATAGGGAATGGGTGAAGGGACCCGAGTTCCAGGGTGCATCTATGCCGGGGGGTGGAGATCACAGTAAAGGGGGTTGATTATCATTGATATTCTATTCACAATAGATTTCAGAAGGCCTAAGCACTTAGAGGGCTTGAGGGAAAGGGGTGGCTTTTCTACAGAAAGAAAAGAAATGAGGAGGGGGGAGGGGGGAGTCCAACTGCGCTCTCCCAATTATGGCCAGGCATTGCTGATTTGATATCGATCATGAATTTGATAAAACTTAGTAGGCTACTTACTATTTGAATTGAAATCCAGTCCATTTCCTTTCAATCTTGAAATCTAATCCGTTGAACACAAAAATCCTACAAAATAGCACAAAAGAATCCAATAAATATTCCTTATTCAAAGAAATGCCGCCTTGTTAATGAAAAGCCCGCTAAAAATTGCAGATTCATGTATGCAAATGATAATGGTGCGCGTTACTCCGCCCACTTTTAGATTGACAGCCAAGTTTGGGCCAATCATCTGCTGTCTATTACCAAACACGTGCCCTGACGTCTGAGTCCGTGCTGCCAAATTTTGTTTAATATTTCTGGAGGAAAAAGCTGTCAACGATCCATCAACTAATGTCTGGCTATGACTTTAATATTTAAAGATTGTTTCATGGAGTTTTTTAGATTGTGGCTGACAATGTCTGGACAATGGCTGGGGGCCAAAATTTTCATATTTAAAATATAATTGTTCTTTTAATTTAAGAATAAACTTTAATCACAAATTGTTCCAATGATAAAGAAGCGAAATACTCACATTTATCTGATGTTCATTACTCGAATGACGACCTTTAAATATTCTGTTCAGGAATAATCTAAACTGCGCAATACTTGACACCTGGTTCCCGCTGAAATAAGATCAAAGAGAATTGTCATTTTTCCGAAATATTACAACCTAATCTCCCTTTCCATTAAGATAATTAGCAACCCCCCCCCCCCCCCTCTCTCCCTCCACGGCACAATTTTCGATTTCAACCCTTGTCCACTCTATGATCTCTGATAAAGTCCCAATGCAGCACATTTTTCCATCAAAACACAAGTAGAAAATAAATTGAACGAATTCTGGGAAAATGTGAAGTAAATTTTGTGTGAACAACAGGCCTTATTTCTACCAAAAATATATTTGATTTTTACTATTTGCCCTCTCAAAACAAAGAAAAAGATATGTTATAGGTAGGAAAGGGGCCTGCTTTTCAGGCAAAATTGCCGTTAAACTTTCTTAGGAAATCATTCAATTAATTTTCCTCCAGTATTTTTAGGTCAAAATGTCATGCAATGGGACTTTCTTTAAGATTAAAGACTGGCTAAAGCGGGTGAAACTACGGGTTGCCGTAGGCTTATTCAGGCAAATTTGGCATCAATTTTTCTCAAAAAACGTTCAATTCATATTGCGCGTGTATTGTGAGGTCAAATTAATTAAAATGTTCATGAAATACCTGTCAAAAGCGCTCCAGAATTGTCTTTTCTAAGGAAACACCTTCAAAACGTCTTTGCTGCGTCAATTTTCGGCCGTCATCTGAATTTTCCCGACGTCTGCTGACGTCGCCTCGTTTTCGATCTAGGCTCTTTGCAAGTGAAAGGTGGACTAGTAATTGTTGTAGGCTCAAAAATAAAGCCAACTCACTAGAAATAGGAAATTTTTGGAATGGACTCACCTGAAATATTATTTTATTGTTGTTTTTATCATTAAAATCTATTTTTGTGTTGAAAATAAAGAGATAGAAATAAATTTTTAGTACCAACCTCGTACAAAAATAATGGGTCACTGTTTAAGGACCAGACGGCATGCACACGACTCTATAAAGGGGTGTGGCTATGGAGTAGTCCGAAACAGTGCGAACTATAATTATAGGCTAAAATTTCGAAAAAATACAAATCAGCCAAACTAAACACAGTAAAGGGTGTTTTTCTGCCATATTATTGATAAAAAGATATGCATGTGCATCGTTAAAGCTAGAAATCACTGAAAATAGGTCAGCGTAATTGGGAAAGGAAGGGATTCTGTCAGTAGCCCGTGTCTTTCGGCAAGAGTCTAGATAGTTCTAGGCTTATCAAATTATGCCTATTTTTCTTGTGCCCTGTAAGAACTTAGGCTTAGGGTTGGGAATATTATTTTGGCTATAAAAACATGGGAGCGCGGAGTGCACCCCCCCTCTCCCCTAAGGCCAAAAATTACAATGTTTTGATGGAAATATGCATAATATCTATAACAGGCTTATTAAAATAGGCCCTATTAAGAACTTAGGGTTGGAACTATTTAGCCCCACCCCCAAAAGGCCCAAAATTATAATGTTTCGGTGAGAATAATAGTAATATCCTTAATAGGATTATTAAAATAGGCATGTTAGTTGTTTTTGGGATACTTTTTTTGGCCATAATAACATGGGAGAATTGTCAAATCCCCCCCCCCCCTCCCGCTCACCTCTTCCACCGCTAAAGGCCTAAATCAGATTAAAACATGCATTTTTCATTAAAGAAATGTATTAATATTGTAAGAACACTCTTTCTAATTATAAATAGAATGCGGGATTTAATTCCTTTATTTTCAAACTCCCCAGTCCCTATATCCCAACAATGGATTGGAAAAAATTTGGCGACGACCCATCCCAATCTAAAGTACTATAGCCGCTGCTGAAATGTCAATGTCAGATTCAGATATTTTGTGCTTCTTTGATAGGCTAAAATGTACTCATAAATAGCCATTGCTAATGCGATAATCAAATAGGCGGCAATAAGTCATATTTAACCAACCCTTATTTTGCATACTCTACAGTAGGGATTTAACTGTTGTCTGTAGTCTAACGCTTTAACGTCGAAGGCTTGAATAACCCTCCATGCGTGTTTCCGGTTAATAGTTTTGTTCACTACTAACTTTGAATTTCGACAAATATTGAATTTAATAAGATTGTCGGCGGTGTGAAGTGAATGTGACATAAAGAGAAGTCTTTTAGGAATCAGGAAAAAAAGTTTCACGCGTCTCAATGACACAGTAACTGGGAGATCGGCCAATAATGCAATATGTAGCGGCGATACGCCATTATGATATCTCCATATTGATCGACCCTCCATTATATTCGTCCAGTACATCGACGATTGAAAATAATCAACGATCCTTCTGCTTTGCTAATTGTGGGCAAGTAGTGTCTATTGACAACTTGAATGCCTTTTTTCTAATCAGAAATGTGTGAAAATTTCTCAGGCGCAGGAAATTATTGCTTGAAAGATTTTTCTATTTTCATGCTATGAAACACTACGGTAATAACTTGTGTCCACAAATTTTGTTTTTCAAGAAAACAGGATTATTGGAGGATTCTGTCAATCCTAATAGATTTTAGGAATTTTGAGTAAAACTGTTTATATATATGCCTGGTTCGACTGGAGGGGGGGATGTGGCACAGTCAGTTAGAGCATTAGAATGTCGGTCGGAGTGTGAAAGTCTGTTGATCTTTTCTCATTATTCCAGTTGGCCCTGTTGTTAATGGATACGGATAATCTGGTAATCAATTCTAAAAGGTTTGGCCAAAGAACCAACTAGTAGAAAGGACCCTCTTCAATCTGTTGTTCTTGTAAAAAATATTATTTCTGTCTTGTGAAACTAAGTTGCTATCCTTGCTATATGGTTTTTTTTTTTTTTTTTTAAATTCACAACACTAAAGATATCTGTCTATAAAAATATATTACCCTATAAATAACATACAGCATCATTGCATAAATAAATAAGCTAACAAAAACAATCTAGGAAATATTCTTTCTTTTGCTTACATTTTGATTAATCTAGTTATATAATGCCCAGGATTTAAACATAGGAGTAATAGCAGTGGCGGAGCTAAAAGGGGGGCAGCCCCAAAGTAAGTTTTTCAGGCAAATAACTAGGTTAGAATTTTGGGCAATCTCAGATATTTCGCCCCCCCTTGGAGGTTAACATGGCTCCAACACTGAGTAAAGGTATATTTGCCAACGAAAATTTATGAAATTTCGTAAGTTGCGAATAGATGAGGTGTTCACTATACTTCATCTATTATCTACCACCTTTATAAATGAAATGAAGAATTAAACAAAAAGTGCAAGAATTATATATATATTTGACATCTGCTCTCAATATCCTGATTTTAATATTTTGAACAAATGAAATATTTCTGATATCTAATTGACAATAAAGGATGTCATTCAAAATAACAATCACACTATTGAAAATATAACACTATTATTAAAACCCAAAAACTTTTTGTCCATAAATCAAAATGAAACCAGACATTTTGACTTTTTCCCTTTCTCCTCAACTTAAATAGCACGGCACTTCAAAATCTATTTGATTAATTAACTCATTCATTCTGTTCCACATGAATATTCATGAGATGAATTGACAAATCATAGTCCTAGTTAGTGATAATATGCTCACTGATTGATCAAGTCCTATTTCACAAATCACCATGCATTAAATTGTATCAATCATTAAGAGTTGCCCAGGTGAAATAGACTAATGATGATAAAACTCTACTCTCACAGCAGAAAAAAAAAATGGATTTCAGATAATGAGACATTCATGACCTGTTGCCTGAAATTCATGTCTAATCTAAATCTTGCCATTTCAATGTCTTCAGAACCCTGATATTTCATGGACCCACAGACTCTTGACTAATGAAGTTGTTACCTGTTGTCTGAGCAAAGAAAAAAAGTTTTTCCATTATTTTTATGAGAATTGGAATAGCAGCCTCAAAATAGTACTCTTAGTCTTTTCCAATTCTCGTTGAAAAACATTTACTTTTACATTGCACAGACAATAGATTGGGGTGCTTTTGCTTTTAACTCATCTAGGTCATTTCTTATTGTTTTATATTACATTTTTATAATTTAGATGTTTATGAACCCCTGATTAAGAAAGTCGTTAATTAGTGATGGTCTGTCGGTCTACCAGTTTTTTAAATATCCCATCAGGTATTTGTATTAGATCATTATAACTTCCGACCTCTGCTATCTGACCTTGATCTAATACAGCGATCTGATTGGCTGTTTTAATTGTAGATAGACGATGAGCTATAGTAATAACAGTACGTCCCTCCATTAATCTTTCTAACGCATCCTGGACCCAGTATTCACTCTCCGCATCTAGGGCACTGAAAAATATCAGAATAAATTTGTTACACTCTAACTTTGTTAATTTCAAACTTAATCAGAAAATTTGGCTTTCATTTTGTTTTGCTTACCTTGTGGCTTCATCTAATAACAGTATTTTGGGATTTTTCAATATGGCTCTAGCTATGGCAATTCTTTGTCGTTGACCACCTAAAATACAAGATATTCTCAGTTTTCATTGGGAAAATGTCCAGTTGTTCGTATTAGACAATAAACTTAGGCCTCGTTTGCTACAGGCTGTGCTTGTTAAAGATCCCTTGACAGTTGGAACAAAGGATAGTCCTGCAAAAATCTCTCATTACACAGTTGCACACTGCATGGCATTGCTTATCGTCGACCAAAACTTTAGAACAAAAAAAAAAAACAACCATTAAATCCCATTTCCAAGACTAAAAATTCAAGGACAACACTGATTTCTTCTCGACTCTGGCAGTGTTTATGTGGGTCTAAGTCAAATGAGATTTGGGGACTTGTGTAAAATTTTATGCCTGATTTCTTAAGCTGGAATAAAGCACAGACCTGATAGCATGATGCCCCTCTCACCAACCAACGTATCAAACTGTTGAGGGAAATTCTGTATAAACTGGTAAGCGTTGGCTTGTCGTGCTGCGTTCATCATATCTTCTGTTGTAACATTGTTTTCACTGGCTCCATATTTTATATTATCAGCTATTGAACAGGAAAATAATATAGGTTCCTGCAAATGAACAGAACCGGTACACACATAAACCAAGAAAAGACAACTCATCATTTAAAATTCTAAACACAGACATTTCTGGATACACAAGGATTTGAAGACTCAAATTTCGAGCACTATTACTGATTAGCTTAGCTAAATGATTCCTGTTTCTGAAACTACTAATATGTTGTCTTAACCATGTAGGATATAATTTATTAACAAGGGGGTGTGGGTGTTACGACAAGGCTAGTAACAGTAATTTGTATATCTATAATAGCCTACACCTACCTGACTTACTGTACCAATATGTTGTCGTAACCATGTAGGATCTAATTTATTAATGTTAATATCATCTAGACAGACCTCTCCTATAGATATAACAAAATCATATTATTTTATAGAGAATGTCTCCACTTAATTTATAATCAACGAGTTTAAGAGCCATTTAAAAAAACTTAAACTATAGTCAATAATCATATAGTGCTGCATCCTGCCTATTCATATGAGGTTTACATAGACACACAAACAAAATGGCTGCCCATGTCGTAAAAGATGCATCCACACACAGCAAAACTTTCTCCCTGGCCATGAAATCTCAATTGGAACCTTGATGAAAATCTGGCATGCTTGCAAACCTCAGTGATGAAAAATCAGAGAAGAAAGCTAAATTAGGCTTAAGAGCTCAAGATATTTATCTCATGATATTTAGATGCCCTAGGGGTTCAAAGTTTTAAATTTTGAATATGAATGCTGATTAATCAAAAGATGAAGCATCATATACTTACCAAACTGAGGGTCATAAAAACGTAATAATAAATGCCCCAGGGATGACTTCCCCGAGCCGCTGGCCCCCACTACTGCTGTTACACTTCCACTAGGTACTGTTAGATTGAGATGATTAAATATATTAACATCTGATCTGGTAGGGAATGAGAACCGGATATTTCTAAACACTATGTTGCCCTCGACTGGCTGAGTAGGTATCAAACCCCCTGTAATATATAAATAATGAAGTTTGTTGTAAATCATTTATTCAATCACTATATTACCCTCAACAGATTTTGTAGGTATCAACCCAACTCGACATATATATATATACTGGGTGTTTCAAAATTAGGGCCTCCCCAACCCCTAAATTCCACTAAAACTATTTGATGAAGTCAAAATATGCTATATCACAAAAGGCCCTTTGCAATAAGTGACGTTATCAAACACTTAGTTTTAGTGGAATTGCAGGAACCACAGATATTTGACTCAAAATTAAAATGGTGCAAATAAATGCTATTAGTGTCCCTGATAAACATCAAAAGTTTAGAAAATCTCTTTACTATCCCTTTAAGAATGTTTGGCTTATTGAAAGGAATGCTTGTAGAGTAGTTATGTGAATATTGGTCAGTTATCCAGAAGCATAGACAGTATTAGGTAAGAAATAGAGAAAAAAACTTGCCTGCAATTGGAATCAAAGGATTCCGTTCTGATAATTCCCACAATCTAGAACTAGCACCAAGCCCTCGCATTATTTCAGTATAAAATGAGGTCATACCTGTAATGATGAAGGTAGAAGGAATAAAACTACTGAGTAAATAAATAGAAAATTGGGGGATTCAAACCCACGGCACTTAATTGACTAGCAGATGACAATCCAACTCGCTACCGACTGAGCTATTTCTTTTCTTTCTGCTTTCATTCCATTGATAACAAAAATTGTACATTACTTACTTGATAGAGATATTCCAATATAAATAGCGTAGACTATAAACGAAGTCAAACCACCAACACTGAGCTGAGATTCCGACATCATTATACCTCCACAATAAATCACAGATAATACAGCAGCATTACCTGATGTCCCTGTCTAGTAATAGAAATTAGAAATATTAAAACAGAACCTGAAACATGTTGTTACTCAGGTAATAAAACAGAACCTGAAACATGTTGTTACTCAGATAATAAAACAGAACCTGAAACATGTTGTTACTTAGGAAATAAAACAAAACCTGAAACATGTTGTTACTCAGGTAATAAAACAGAACATGAAACATGTTGCTATTCAGATAATACTGCAGAACCTGAAACATGTTGCTATTCAGATAATACTGCAGAACCTGAAACATGTTGTTACTCAGGTAATAAAACAGAACCTGAAACATGTTGGTAATAAAACAGAACCTGAAACATGTTGTTACTCAGGTAATAAAACAGAATCTGAAACATGTTGTTACTCAGGTAATAAAACAGAACCTGAAACATGTTGTTACTCAGGTAACAAGTACAAAGTTGATCATAATGGCAAGAATTACTTACAAATCCCCAAAATAATGCACTATATTTGGCTTCTTTTTTCTGTAATTGTAAGATTTCTTCTATTTTATTATCATAAGCTTTCATTTCTTTGATTTCATGAGCAAACGCTCTAACAGTTCGTATATTACTGATTCTTTCTTCAGCTACCTGAAAAAAAAATAGCATTTCACAAGCTCATACAGACAGTATTGTCAACAAAGGAGGCTGTTTCACACTACAACCAGTCTCTTAGACCGTTAATTTTGATCCTATTTGTTTAAACATTAATTATATCATGATATATATTATGCTCCTAAAAAGTAGCCCTGTTTCACAATTTCATCAAAATTTAATTACATAATGAAACTCTTTGCATTACAAGTGAAATCTTTTTTCAGGACATCTATCTATCAACCCAGACGCCTGGTTGACCTGGTAGTCAGACTATGAGCTAGTATCTTTAAACTTGAAATTTTTTTCCTCTTAGTGATGCAGGTAGAAGGGTTTAACATGGAACAGTTTTGTATTCATACCTGTGTAGAATCAGCCAGTGTGTCTTGAATTTCTTTCGTTATTCTTTTAACAAATCTTCCATAAATAATAGCAAACCCAACAACTGCAGGAACAATGGCCATTGCTACTAGCGTTAATTTGGGGGATATGTACAGCTGTAACAAATAATAGTTATATACTGGAACAAATCTAAAGAGGCAGTAAATCCAATCAAAAACTGTTACCCTGTAAAAACAAAAAATGTGCACTTTTTTGTGAAATCAATATTATTCCAAATAATCTCCACCCTGTTAACCTTCTTCATTAGCCCACATGGTGCAGAAAACAAGGATGTAAAATTCCATTCATTTCATTTCCACCCTGTTGAGATCATAAAATCAACAAGTTTGGACTACCCATCCATAATAATATTGTTTACTTATCATGGATTCAGAATCCAAACAATTAAAGTCATGCTTGATTAAGTAAAAATAAGAAAAACAAAAAATCAAAGCTTACCATCATAGTCACAGCAATAGAACCTGAAGCCAGGGCTCGTAAACCTTCTGATATATTATTGGTTATAGATTTTCCTACAACAGTCGTATCTGTCGACAATCGATTTATCAACTCTCCTGTTTTATTTTTATCATAAAATCCCATTTCTTGTTTTAAAATAGATCTGAAAACGTTTTCACGTAGTTTCTTGATAATATTTTGACCAGCGACAGTAAAGAGATAGAAACGACAACAATTAGCTATTCCACCAATAACAAATATCAATAATAGAATACTGGATTTAGATTTTAAGTTTTCCAATAAAGTTCCATCATCTGCTGCAGAAGACATGAGATCTATCAACTTTCCAAAAAACATCGGCACCAAATTGGAAATGCTGCTGGATATTAGAAGAAAAAATATAGCACCTGAAAAAAGAACAAGAACATATGACACAGAGACAAGTGCAATATTGATGTCATTTGAGGCAGTAGACTGTACAGTTTTATTACACATGTATTGATGCATTTCAAAATTACAGACTTCCAAATAGCATTGTGACATTGTGAAGATGGTATTGATGATAAATCAAAGACGCCTATCTACACAATATGGTATAGTGATCAAACACAAAGTGATATAAAGCCGCTACTTGTGCACTTGCACAGGCCCTGTATTTCTGAAATGATCTCGGCAGAAAGGATTTCTACAAAACAGTGTTAGAAGCTAAGACCCTAGGATATCCTAGAAGCAGTGTTAGAGGGAAAGATCCAGCGCTAAGATCGTTTCGAGAATAAGCGGCCAGAATTACATATCTACTGTGCACAAGAATGATGATGAACATAAGTGATGCGATTACACCGTGTTGGTCATGAAATTGGTCAAGAAAAAAATCAATCTATCTTATATAATTCCTAAATAAACTAACTTTAAAAACTAACCATATATTTTATAACGTTCAGGTTTAGCTAATCGAAACATTCGAACCAAATCCTTCTTCTTCCATCCTTTTAAGTAATTTTTTAAAATGACTACATAATTTTTAGAAGCACTGCCATTTTTCACAGGTGAATCTTTAGGTATTTTTGGAGTTCCGGAATGTTTGAACCGTAGGGGCTGCTGTCTGGTACATAAACAGGTTAATTTTACTTCTCTGAATATGGGATGGATGGATTTGGTCTTTAAGAAGTTTGCTGATGCTTTCCTCAAGAATGCCGAATACATTTTGTTTGCTGTTACAATATCTCAATTAATGAAGATCAGTTAAATTTCTGATTAATTTTGTAGATTCATTTTATTTTCTGGCTACTTACACCATCATTTCCTTCAATCGAA